TGAAAAGATTTTGAACAACTTTTGTTTCATAAAATTTCAAAACTTCGCAAAGATGTCAGTCATTCGGACTGTGAATGTTTTAAATCTGGAGATGTGAATTGATTGTTCTTTTTAGATTTCTTGCTATTAATACTTCAAGGTAAAAGTACTATTAATTGACAGTTTAAAGTGCATAAAGTATAATAAAATACTTGGGATATTAGCTCAATGAAAATCAGCCTGAGTAAGCTTTATATATGTGAATATCTTTGCGGTTGACAAACCTGATTTAACTTCAGCAAAACATAACTTATATCATTATTATATTAACTAGCCCTGTTATTATTAGTACTAGATAATTTTGCACTCAGCCATGTATTGTTTTTGGCCATTATTGTCAAGTATATAAGTCGTCTCTCTGACAGACAGATAATATACACTTGGATTCCCAAGCTACTGACTTACTCATCCGTTACTTGCTTCATACATTCACGAACGCGATCACTAATATATATATTGGGATTTCGCTCAACAGTCTCATTACTTTGTAATCATTCACGTCCTCTGATCTTATATTATGTCTTCTAAAATCTCGATTACATCACATTGTAGTATGCAACATGAATCTGATCAATGTGGTACATATCAATTATGGAATTTTCATTCGCCATTAAGGTATTTATAGTAAATACCTATACATAGATTAACAAAAGTGAAAACAAAATATTATGTCTTAGCTAAGCACTACAATGACTTATTGTGTTTTCAAAAATATCCGCAACATGATGAAACGTTGCTTCACATCTTTGGTTCAATTTAATTATGGATATCAATTTAAACACTAATGTAGATATATACATAAATAATATAGATCTTCTTCAGTGGTCAATATATCTAACTAAAAACCACTATAAAATATATACATTTTGCATCTTTGCATGTGGGCTGTGGGCTGTGGGCTTTCATTTTCTTTTACACCACAATGTTTGAATTATTGCCACATTGGACTTTCACTTGTAGATGATAATCTTGTCTTATCTTTGCCAGATAACCCGTCTGCACAGGAAATCTCTCAAAAACATACAGATCAACAGGAAATAACACAATTTATCATTTGGGTTTTCTAAATTTGTATGGTCAAAACATATCATTCTTGCATCTGTTTTGATCATGATCAGATGGTAGAATTTGTATGGCCTAAACATATGATCCTTGCATATATATGTTTTGATCAGGATCAGATGGTAGAATTTGCAGTCATGCAATAAGTGTATTTGTTCAACCATGGCCAAAAACTACATGGACTAACCATGTATATCATATTAGTTAGTGCATTAATTTATAAACTGTGAATATATATCATGTATATCCACTCTTTAAATCTCATCTTTATGCTCTACACTTGAGTTTTTATCTATCTGGATATTTTGTAATGAACCCGTGATGGGTATATGACCATCAGGTTATTGCATGATTATGCTTAGCTTTATAGCGTGATACAATATGTGTACTAATTCAATTAGTACAAGTCATTAGATTTGCTAATGATTACAGTATTGATCTGCCCAACCTGATTGATACCTTTCTTTTCACAAAAGAAATATTTTAATGGAAGTTCAAAAGGTTACAGACCATGTTACTACTGATCCATCAAAGTAAAGATAATACCCTTACAGCTAAGTAGTTGGTAATGCCTCTAGCTATATCACTATTGACAGTCTGGAAAGGAATTCTCAATTAAATCTTTTTATTCTCTGAAATACTCATATTTGCAATTCTTTACAACCGTAAATGTATTAACATATGTAGAAGTGATATCTACAGTAGCACTAGCTTTATTGCTGAAAGAGCTGACTTTTTGGATATTCCTAGATGAATAGACCAGTTTCGAATTCCAAATTACCGCTGTGTTCCTTGATTACAGACTCATTTGCACGGGGTTAGCCTCGTATCAGTGTTTAAATATTCTCAAATACCAACGGTAAAGTAAAGAATGCACAACTTCAACAATACAAACACTTTGAAACTCGACGGACCTTGACTGGGACACGTACACATTCTGCACAAACTCGAGGCTAACCCTGTGCAAATGAGTCAGTAATCAAGAAACACAGCGGTATTTTGGAATTCGAAACAGGTCTATTATGCTTAAGCTAACCTATCTTAGTCAAGCATTGCCCACTATACATATATGCAATACATACAGTAAAACCAGTAGCTTTAATAATGATATAATGCTTGTAGATGCATGAGCTACTTTTTGGTAGTAAACATGAATCATAAGTTTTGATATTGATTAGCAGTTTTATCTCGATGGTAGCACTCATTTATATGATATGTAGGTGATAATTTCTTATTGCATTGTACAAAATAAAGAAAATGAAACTTATCTATAATTTATATAATTTGGAAGTATATCAGTTGCTAGAGGTTAAGTTAACAGTATAAATCTTATTTTGGTCCACAACTTTTTTGATCATTTGTTATGTTGTTCATGTGGGGATGGTTTGTTCCTGATTTCTAATCTGGAAGTAATAATTTCATGAGATGTGTTTCTAATCATAATGGAAGGAATGAAGCTGACCCTTTGAGATAACAAAACTAACTGAAAGCTGGCAAAGAGACAAGTTAATTAGCAATAATTAATACATAAACTGAAAGGGCTGATGCTAATGATCGTGATATATTGTCAAGTGAAACTATTAGTGTCAGCCCTTTATATTATGTATTAATAATTCATATGTACACGGCATGTAACAAATAGTAATACATGTATACTATATAAAAAACGGCCACCAAGTTGGCTCAGTTGGTTGAGCATCAGACTTTCATGCGGGAGGTTGTGGTTGGGTTTGGTGGTTGGAGTCTGGGCCAGACCAACACTCACACTCTTAAAATAACTGAGGAGAAAGTGTTGCCTAACAAATGGTTAGACTTTCAAGTTGCTCGGATGACCACTTTAAATGGCAGTCCCATTACTCCACACTTCATCATTCTAACCAATATTGGAGGGACGTAAAAGAACCACTGAGGATGTAAAGAAACCCTGGCAGTGACCACCCTCAGTGCCTACACCTCATACTAACCATTTCATGTTTAAAAATTGCATAAAAAGCAAACTTACATTCACACTCAATGTAAGGCGCCCTTGATTATATACATAGAAAGGGTACTATATAAATCATAAATCATTATCATTAACATTACATACTAGGGATTAGTTGATTTACGATTATTAATACGTAAATTTAGAAAAGGGTGATGCTAATGGTCGTGATATGTTGCCAAGTGAAACTAACGCACCACGCGTAGAGAACATAATATGTTCTATATATGTTATATAGGTACCCTCGAAGAAAAGAGTCTGATTCTCATGAATATAAAGTCATGACATATGTTGACACGTGAAACTTATGCACATGGCTTGAAAAGAAAGGATTAAAGGCATCAAAACCATGCTACAGTCTGAGCAAAATAGATCAGATAAAACTGTCAAAGTAATAGAGCATTTTCAAATACTGCTGTGTTCCTTGTTCACAGACTCATTTATACAGTAGTGTCAGTCTCATTTCAGTGTTTAAATATTCACAAATACCAATGGTAACTTAAAGAATGTACAACTTCAACAATACAAACACTTTGAAATGCCTCAAACCTCCACTGGAACGTGAATATTCTACACAAAATCAAGGCTAACCCTGAGCAACGGAGAACTCAAAACTGGAGTATTTTTTTCATTTATAGAGCTTAAGTGAGGTGACTAGCATTAGAATATTCGTCTTGAAAAACAAAATATGAAGAAAATTAGTTCAACTGTGAACAAGTGTGAAGCAATAGTGATTGAAACAGTATAGATGATTTAGTATTTTGACTTACAGTATTGTCAAAGACACTCCATACACGTTAAGCATGAGTACAGTAGCTATTGACTGTGTTTTAATTTCATTTCTTTTGGAATTACAGCTGCGTCATGTGGAGAGCATAAAAATGGAACAAGTGGCAAAATCAAAACTCCAAATTACCCTCAAAACTATCCCAGCAATGCAGACTGTTTATGGAGTATCTCAGTACCCAAAGGATACATCATTAAGCTGATGTTTAAACATTTCATAGTGGAAAGAAGCTTTGGTTGTACCAATGATAATGTAAGGATTTTTGATGGGAGAGACGAGAAAGCAAACCCACTTGGGAAGTACTGTGGAGGAATGCACCCATTTGATGTCCTTTCAACATCTAATCATTTGGCAATTACACTTATCTCTGATGATTCAGTATCATTCAGTGGATTCAGAGCTAAATATATTGCAGTCAAACCAGGTTGGTGCAAACATTATTACATAAAAATAATTTGATTTATTAGCTTGTTGATGCATGTCCTTAAGTTTGCTCAAAATTGTTTAGTGACCATTTCTTGACTGTTTGTTGTCCATTTATGGACAATTTGTCAACCTTTTGTTGACAGTTTTGGCAATTTGTAGTACCTTTTCTTAGTGGACAAAGAATGACCAGGTGATGGTGGATTGCTGATGGAGTAAGAGTTGGTTGTTGACTGACTACTGCCGACAGTCAGTCAACGTGACATCTGGGGAACTTATTGTCTTTGCATTTTCTCCAATCCTTAACATGCAAAATTCTAATTTGATTTGACTACACTTGTGATTGCCTATAATAATTGTTCACAAGTTTATTATTCATCTTTCTACAGTTACTACCCCCTCTATTGAATCAACTTTACCAATGACAACCAAGAAGCCTAAAACCTCTACAACTAAAGAAGCTACAACAACAGCTCTTCCAACTACAGCCTCAAAACCAACCACAGTTAAAACCACAGTTAAAACCACAGTTAAAACCACAGTTAAAACCACAGTTAAGACTGTTAAGATTACAAGTCCTCCTACAACACAGAAATTTATTTCAACTGAGCCACCAATAGCCATAAAATTTAGGAAGCCATTTCAAAACGCTACCATAATTATACCTGCTGGCAACAGCTATGACTTTGTATGCCAAGTCAGAAGAACAAAACAAAGAGTACGAATGTTTTGGACAAAAAATGATCTGAAACTAAAAGCTATCAAGGGACATATAAATATAAAAAAGCACAAGAGGAAGTCAATTCTTAATTTGATGAAGACAACAGAAATGGATAGTGGTGTGTATGGATGTCATGCTGTTGATTACCTTGGAAGGCATATCAGCATGTATGCAAGGCTCAATGTTGAAGGTAGGTGAAGTTGGGAATCATCACTGCAGGCAGCAGAACAAGATGAAAAGTGAGGGGGGCGGGGGGCTGAACGTAATGAAACAAGCAAAATGCAATTACCTTTAAAAGGGGGTCTCAGCCCCCAAAAAACTCTCAAGTAAGGGAGCTCTAGCACCCCTCATCCCCCATCCTCTACTGCCTACCTCTTACAGTGTTACCTTTATTAAATGGACATCTACATGGGCCCCAAATTTTTCTTCCCACATATTACTGCTTTGGCAGGGGTGGCGGAAGCAGGGGGGCCTGGGGGGCACTGGCCCCCCCACTAGATTTTTTGGCCCCCCCAGAATATAATGCCTCACACAAAAAAAAAAAAACGCATGAGATTTGGTTATGATTACCATTATTTATTATTTTGATATTACATAATTTTCTGTATCTAAAAAAKATACGATATATCTAGCGACGACTTGCATCATTTTTGTGTCTCTCAGCACAATTGCAAGTGGTTTAATGCGYGCAAAATGTTACTGATTGAAATATCACACATACACGTTTGTAATCAAGCTAAACAGGGAGGGGGGGTTATTTCAAGGTACCGTGAAATATTGGAGTGCCCCCCCAAAATTTTTCAGCTTCCGCCGCCCCTGTTTGGTTAAACTATGGTTCCAAAGGTGGTCGCTGGTTCGAGCCCTGCAAACACCATATGTGAATTAGGTTTGTTTGATGTGTTGTTTTCCTATGCTATGGGGTTTTCTCTGGGTTCTCAAGATTCCTCCTGCTGTAAAAATCAACATGTGAGTTGAGTGTTGTGTGCATAGATCATTGAATGAGGTGGTAGTGTGTGTGAGTGAAAAAGTGTCCCAATCAAGTGTGAAACCACTAAAATGACTAGACACTGAAATGAAATATTTCTTTTTGATTCTTATTATTATGAATTTAATTTTTTTTTTGACATTTGTCTAGCAGAGCCTGAGCAGGTAACGCCAACAGCTGCTATCAAGATGGTATTGACTCCAAAAATAACGAAGGCATTGATTACAAAATCAATGATAAATACCACAGCTGAGATGGGAGAAAATATAGTTGTATGGTGTGTCTATACTGGATCTCCACCGATCACTATGAGGTATTGTAGATAGTCATAGTTCCATCTGGTGTGGTAATACAGGAAACGAAATTGTGCAACCTGACGTGTACTGCAGAGCAAATGTGGCTAGTATTACCACTCCATGCGTAACAATTTTTTATTGTTGTGCAAAGTAGAAACTTTCTCTACTCTTCACAATGATGAAAATTTGTTGCATCATGTGGAGTCATAATTGAGCAACATTTTCTCTGCAATTTGCCATGCAATGCAATTCAGTGTTGGGTGACAAATTGTGCGATTTTGTTGCGCACATTACTGTACTGTAAATCCAACAAACATTTATTGACCTGGTCAAAAATACCCAGCAAATTTGAACTGACAAAAAAAAAGTAATATGTTGTTTTTTACAATACATGATGTATAGATAGCATGGTCCTCTATAGGTAAAGATTAGCATTATTGAACGAAGTGTATTTGATGTCTTTCTTTAGGTGGATGATAGACGGAAAATACCATAATGGAACACAAACCTACCACAAGGGATTATATTCATCTTCTTACAGGATTATGGTATCGAAGGAGAACACCAATGTCAAGTGTGAAGCAAGGAATCCATATGGGTCTAGTGTGGGTTCAGGCGTGGTTCGACTAAAAACAAGTGAGTTTTGATTTCAATGAGACTAGAATGCTTCTTGTATGAAGGGGAAACACACGGTACTGGCTTACAGCACGTACACGGTACCTTACAACACAGAACGGATTTCATTTTATTGGGGAAGGGATTCAACAAATATTTTTATCATACATTGTATTTAATATCTCACTTCTGATTGGCTGAGAGCCCTCGGCCAATCACTGGTACCATGTGAACTTGACATGATAAATGCAATATCTGCAGGTTTTCCTGCAGTAATTGTGTAGTACTGTAGTTATAATCACAGATTTTGTTGGGATTTTGTATTAGGAAAACCAAGTGCTAATGAAATTATAGTGAACTACGATATATTTTTTCAAATATCAATAACAATCAATGGGTATTAAAGTATGTCGTTAACTCGTTGGTTAGTCTCTCTTTCTTCCACCTTCACTCTATAGAAAAACCAATGGGAATTCCAGCAGTCATCACCATGGCAACGCTGAATCTCACTGCAGAAGAGAAAGGACAGAAATTGATTCTACGGTGTTCTGCCATCGGGACCCCTCCCATGATCATAAGGTAAGGTACAGGTCATGTCGGTGTATGTCACGCATAACTTCTCATGGTTATAAGATAAGGTGTATATAAGGTCATGCACAGCACTATCAAGGTGGTCAGACACATTGGCAAAAAAGTTGTGGAATTTATGGCGCGCCACATTGTTGCGTTACAAGTCATTAAGCCAATCTGATATCACCTCTCCACGCGCAATTTGTTTTTTCATCCGAGTTACCGCTCCTTTACTTCCTGTCACATATGATCCATAGTCACGCAAGGCACTGTCACACGAACAACTGAGAAACATTAACTCACATTTCCTGGATTGTTATATTTTAGGTGGATAATTGACAAAAAGTATCATGAAACTTCTCCAATTAGCCGTGGAAATTTTCACACATCATCTTATGAGCTGACAATTGATAAAGACCATACCATGATCAAGTGTCAAGCACAGAACGGGTTCGGCATTGATACCAAGACTGGACTCATTACAATAAGCCCAAGTGAGTTTGATTGACGTGTACAGTAGCTGTAGTAGATTTAGATAGCTGTAGTAGATTTTATATGACTGGGGAAACTGAGCCTAGCATGTGATTTAGCATGCAAATGGTTTTCGCTCTGAACCAATCAGGAATCACCAGAACACACGCAATCCAAATACACACACAGCGGTTGTCATACAAAACTATGTGTAAGTATGGTAGTTATGGCCGAGGCATGGGACGTTAATAAGATATCTTAGTTAATCCCCATCCTTCCTTAAATACCATTATCAAACCTCATCACGGCTCATCATCACCTCTCGCTATCTGGAAGCATCTGGAATACATTTTTCTTAAATTGATGGGCTTCAAGCATTCCCAATAGAGTCTAATAACAAAGATATGGCGGCCATTTTGGCGGTATTAACAATGGATGCTAAGTACCACCAAAATGGCCGCAATGACGTAATGTGCAATTTTGTTCCGTTTAATGCGCAGGTGTTGGAGCACGGCAAGCCAGTCCATGGGACTCGTTCAAACCAGGACAAAACATGTTTTATATAGTCCTAGTATGTGGAGCAGTAGTTCTTGTATTGGTTCTTCTTGGTGTCCTTTGTTTCCGTAAGAATTACGCTAACAACAAATACAGGGTCCCAACACCTGTCAGCCTGGAGCAGCTCACAAAGAACCCCATATTTGAAAAGGAGAGTAATGTGTATGTGAACCCAAGGCTGGAGAAATGGGACGTGCATAGAAATAACATTGAATTTATTAAAGACATTGAAGATGGTGAGTTGACAACAAAATCAATTGCTCTTTTTATTCTTATGTTTCCTCTGTCTTTCTCAATATACCTCAAAGTTTTATTAACTCTTTTACGATCGTTTCCATTTTTCTCTTTCTCCCCCCCCCCCCCCCCCCCCCCCNCCCCCCCCCCCCCCCCCAAATCCTTTTCTCATTCTATTTCCAATTGGGCACCAATTGAGCACCATTTCCAATTGGATTTAGAACATTTGCCAGTAAAACAAGGTAGTGGCTTGGGTTATTTAGAAAATAAGAAACCAAAGAAAACTAAATGTTTTATACCAAAATAAAACTTATATGCTGAGTTTAAGTATAGAATGCACTGCATGGCGGGCATCAGCTTGGTTACCATAGTAACATCATTTTTCATTCATAGGTTCCTTTAGTAGAATTTTTCTTGGTCGAATGACGCATGCGTCACGTGGCGAACAGGATACTCTTGTCCACGTTAAAGTGTTAAAAGAGTCGCCGCAATCTGATGCTAACAAGGAAGATTTTGAAGAAGAAGCTCTTGAACTAACCACTTACGACCATCCAAACGTGCAAAGCCTTGTGGGTGTTTGTGTTATGGGTAGACCGCTGTGTCTTGTGTTTGAGTGCTCAGATCGTGGTGACTTGAACCAGTTCCTGCGCGACTCTGGATGCAGCCACTATATTATCCGGGAAAGACCCAACTCTTCCATGGACCCTGACACCAAACTATCCAAACTCGACCAACTTGGTATTGCTAAACAAATAGCTTCAGGTATGCAATACCTTAATTACAGAGGATATCAACACCGACAGCTTTGTACTAAAAACTGTATGATCAGCAAATCTATGGTGGTTAAGATAGGAAATATTGGCATCCATGACTCCAGACCACACACGGCGTATAGTTCCCTCAGTGCAATAGAAAAGGCTAAGTATCCTGTGCGCTGGCTTCCTCTTGAGAGTGTGACATCAGGGAAGTTTTCTGACAACACAGATATATGGTCGTTTGGTATCTTGTTATGGGAAATCTATTCATACGGAATGACACCTTATTATGGGATGAACAATGATGAAGTTATCTCATTGGTTCGTGAAGGGGACATTCTGCCGCGTCCAAAGGAATGTCCCAAGGAGTTGTATGACCTTATGCAAGACTGCTGGAATCTTGTCCCTCATGAAAGACCAAGTTTTCGGTTTCTTTACGAGAAAATTTCAGCGCTTCTCACTGGCGTTGCAGTTTGAAGCATCAGTCACGTGATAAATCACGTGATAAATAAGTCACTTCTAAAATTCATTCAAATATTGACGTTACGGTTTTGTAAATGTGAATTATTTTTGAAACGAAAGCATTATTGATGGTTCAAAATTCAAAAAGTAAAGTATTTTAAATTATAAAATAGATACAGTAGTCTTACATTTAACTAGTAAAGATGTTGTGACTTAATTAAGGATCATGTAGACTTGTAACGTTGCGGGACTGAAGTGAGTACGTCCCTCACCAGTAACGGAGATTTTATTCCAACAAGTAAAAATAGTTTTTATACAAAGAATTCCTAAACACTGCTATCATAGAAACGTACATAAACTTTTTGAAGGAAAAACTGCTAGATACAAGTTCGCTAAATGAATGAATAAAGGATTCTCATTAATTCTCACAGGAGAATCTCTTTACACAAAGAAAAAATATCGCTGTATATAGTGCTAGAGTGCAGTCACTAAAACCATGAACTTTAAATAGTACTAATTAGTACTATTTCATACAGAATCCTTTGTTTTCTGTTGTTTAATTATCACTATTTAGTGCTAAAAATTAGTATTTGTTTCACGGATTTAGTGTGAGCACTCTAAATGAATCTATGTGTTTTATAGATGGTGAAAAAATATGAATAGAAATATATCCCAATTGTAAATAGATTTAAAGGGTTAGGATTATCAGAATGAAGTTATGCAAATATGGACTGCGCAACATATTTTTGAAATATACCACTCTATGTCATGTACGGTCAATCGGATAGAGGATAGTTCCTCCCTATTTTTAAAGAAAAGTTTTACAGTGAATTAAAGATAAAGCATAGTATTTAGAAGAATTCAAATAAAATTGGAGAAAGAATGTTAAGTGTATTTGAGGTTATATTTTAAAAGAGAAATATATTTAAAGCGAAAACATTATTAATCGTTAAAATAAACATAACATCTTTGTCGTATTAATGCTTGTTTATTCAATCTTTCGGCGAGGATACTGTTTGGAGAATTAATTTCATATAAAATGGCAGGGCAATGTTATTGACAACATAGCTAATAACTGACAACGTCCTTTAAACCAATTACGGCGCATGAGATTATTACTGCTCATCCAATGAAAATACTTGAACATCACAGTTGTGGTATGGCATGTCGGTTTCAAAAGTTTTACATGGCACTGGCAGAAGTGCACACCGATATGACACTGTCACCACACACCATTCCCATGGCAACCACGTTCCACAGTTTACAAGACAGTACATGATAAAACCAGACACCTTTATTTCTCATCTAACTCTCCAACACTAGTGATGGTGATACATGTTAGGAACTAAACACTACAAGCTGAGCAGTGAACACAGTGCACAAAGCATGAGTGAACAAAATTTCTGTGTATCTATTTGCCTTCTTAAGTTGACACTACATTGATCTGCCCTATTTATTGACATCACAAAATATCTATATCCCTTCCTTGAGAGGCAGATTTGAGGTTCAACCTCAGGAACCAATTTCCTTCCTGGAAATGTAATTTTCTTTATTTTAGAACCTGTGCAGGAATGGGGCTAACAGGCACCCAGTAAAACTCCTTGATCTGCATTTGTACCTCATTGGTGTTCTTGTGGTTTTGGGGAACTTTGGAAATTTGGAACCACTGAGAACTGAAACTGAGCAAAAAAAGAAGTGAAGGATGAGAGGGCAGGAAGGGAAAGAAGGAAACCTTCCCTACTTTCCCCACCCCCCACGTTTCCCTTTTTTTGCTAGGTCTCATTTTTCTAGCGGACACATAGCTGAAGCAGGAACCTCAAAAACCCCTGATTTGTTCCAAAACCGACAAGAAGGCTGTGCAGGCTACTTTATTATTGATAGCTTTTTAAGGCAGTCGGTTTACTGTGTACTACTTCATATATATATCTTTTGTTAATGATATGCTGTTCTATTAACAACATGTATTATCATTACATTGCTGTTCTATTGGCAACATACTGTCTATAGGCTTCAGTGACGTAAACCAGTAACAACAAAATTATAAGAACATCATCTAAAAGACCCAGAAATCCAAACACGGATTCTGGGATAATGTCTAAAGGAGAAATGAAGTAAAGAGCTGCAGCGAGAAAACACAAAATGATGCGCATCCTCAGCACCCAAACGAGTCCTCCGACTGAAAATAACTCATTAAACAACTGTCTTAAAAGAGTCGGGAAATCACGGATATGGTCCATCAACTGAAAAATAAAACAAAAGAGGGATGAGCAACTGAGAAATCAGCTGTGTTGAGTTTTATAGTTTTGATCCCTGATTTACAATACTGAACAAAAACAAACTGAACTTACAGATCTGGGTAGTCCTGAGAATCGCCTATTATATTCATAAATTTCTCTTTTCCACCCTGCCGATTCTTGGGATGCATTCTCTTCAGGAGAAAAGTTCTTGAAAAGAATTGTCACCTAAATCAAGAATAAAATGAGATATGATTGCATTTACCAGAATAATTTAGCATGGAGTGACTAATCATGAATAATAATGAGTATAGAAAGGTGTGAAAACGAAGAACTATGTAATTTAAATATTGTACAATAAAATGGCGAACAAAGAAAAAAATTTTTAAATTAATTGATAAGTTAAACATGGGGTGCATGAAAACAAATTGGGCATACCTTCCTCCAATAATTGATAACTGGTCCCTGTGCGTCATGCAATACTTCATGTTAAGTGTTTCAATCTTAGTACTTTGTAACTTTAATTTTTGTATTTTGTACTATATTTTCTGTCTGTAAGTTTAATTTAAACAGAGCCCCATTCAATCCAGCTTTGCTGAACTGGACACCTCTGTATAAATATTGTTGATAAATAAATGAAATTAATTAATTAATACAGACATTTATTTACCTGTTGTCTACAAACAGGACACTGAACTGCACCAAGCCAACTTCCATAACGCCAATAGGTTATGATACAAGGAGCTGGAAAAACACAAACACAACTAGCTTGTATTTCTTCATTGCCTTCTATTATCCTGATTTATAACCATATAGTAAAATCGTTTCAATGACATTATCTTATTGTGAGCAGTAGTTTCTGTACAATCATCAAAAACGCTGTTTTGAATATTGCAGAAATCCTGAAGGATTTGCCACAGTTTTCCTTCATTCCCAACACTCTGTAACTAGGTATTTTTATACTAAAAATATTAGACTTTTCGTCCAAGGAGCTACAGCTGTAGGCCTAGGAGTCAAATGGACAAAGAACTCATTCGATTCAACCTACTCAGTATTGTTTTCATTTGTTTTTGTTTTTCACTATTATACGTTGACGATTAGATTTTGATTCAAGAGTTAATTGAAATCACTGTAATACACAAACTATAAATCCAGGAATACGTATAAATAAACCACTTGATTTTAATGAATAAATATTACATGTAAAGATAAGAATCATTATGCTGACATCATGATTATTGATGTGAAACACACGCAATAAGTAATCATACTATTATTGATTATCTACAGCTCTTACCACAAAATTCATGCCCACAGTTAGTCATAGTTAGATACCTAGCATCTGTTAGACACACAGGACATTGCCTGTCAGTAGAGAAAGGCCTTGGAGGTTGAGAAAAATGTTCTGAGGTCGTGTCTTCATGATCTTCACGTCCTAAACCTAATCTATCTCTTGTTAGTTGCACTTGTTCTTCTTGTAAAGGATGAATATTTCGCGTCCTGACGTGATTTCTGTATACAATACTAACTATAGCAATTAATAATAAAGATGATACGAGTCCCAGAAGGACTTCATCGCCAACTCCTTCAACGATACTTCCTCTAGAATGATGAAGAGTGAATATACTACGAATACTGTCTGCCATTTTATATTTACGATCGGTCGTTACTTCATGTATGACCACACGAATTGGCACTATCTTGGGGTTGCGTGTTGTGGTAGTGTTGCATCGTTCGGTGTCACCTTTAGTTATCCGTGTAGGTGCAGCACATGTAGTTGGTGTAATACCCGTAGTACCCGTGGTAGGTGTAGTACCTGTAGTACCAGTAATACCTGTAGTATCTGTAGTAGGTGTAGTAGATGTAGTACCTGTAGTATCCGTAGTACCTGTAGTACCTGTAGTAACTGTAGTAGGTGTAGTATCTGTAGTATCCGTGTAGTACCTGTAGCACCTGTAGTACCTGTAGTAGGTGTAGTAGATGTAGTATCCGTAGTACCTGTAGTACCTGTAGTAGGTGTAGTATCCGTAGTACCTGTAGTACCTGTAGTAGGTGTAGTATCCGTAGTACCTGTAGTATCTGTAGTAGGTGTAGTAGATGTAGTATCCGTAGTACCTGTAGTACTGTAGTATCTGTAGTACCTGTAATAGGTGTAGTATCCGTAGTACCTGTAGTATCCGTAGTAGGTGTAGTACCTGTAGTATCTGTAGTACCCGTAGTAGGTGTAGTACCTGTAGTACCAGTAATACCTGTAGTACCCGTAGTAGGTGTAGTATCCGTAGTACCTGTAGTACCCATAGTACCCGTAGTAGGTGTAGTATCCGTAGTACCTGTAGTACCCATAGTACCCGTAGTAGGTGTAGTATCTGTAGTACCTGTAGTACCTGTAGTACCTGTAGTACCTGTAGTAGGTGTAGTATCTGTAGTAGATGTAGTATCCGTAGTACCTGTAGTACTGTAGTACCTGTAGTACCTGTAGTACCTGTAGTAGATGTAGTACATGTAGTACCTGTAGTACCTGTAGTAACTGTAGTAGGTGTAGTACCTGTAGTATCCGTAGTACCTGTAGTACCTGTAGTAACTGTAGTAGCTGTAGTATCTGTAGTATCCGTGTAGTACCTGTAGCACCTGTAGTACCTGTAGTAGGTGTAGTATCCGTAGTACCTGTAGTACCTGTAGTAGGTGTAGTATCTGTAGTAGGTGTAGTATCCGTAGTACCTGTAGTACCTGTAGTAGGTGTAGTATCCGTAGTACCTGTAGTACCTGTAGTACCTGTAGTACCTGTAGTACCTGTAGTATCCGTAGTAGGTGTAGTACCTGTAGTATCCGTAGTACCTGTAGTATCTGTAGTACCCGTAGTAGGCGTAGTAACTGTAGTATTTGTAGTATCTGTAGTACGTGTAGAACCTGTAGTAGCTATAGTAGGTGTAGTATC